CCATCTTTGGTCTCAGCTTTGTTTTTTGTGGCTCTCTGGGCACCGAGTTCTCCTTTCCATGAGAAGCCCATGGGAGTATCTTTGCTCTTTGACTCTGGCGTCTGGGATCTCTCTAGGTCACCCATCACCTTCGTGCTGTAACTCCTCTCCTCCTCCTTTCCCAACAACTGCATTTGCTTTTCTTGCTTCTGCCTCTCCTCCTCCAACTTGTTTACTTTTTTACCACTGTTAGGTCCAGACTTGTGTTGCGGAAAGATTGCCTGTGGTATCAGCCACGGTAGCTCATCTGTAAAGGAGTGGGGACATCGTACATCTCCACATGGGTGTTTCTGTGCTACAACGCCAGAAAATCCTCCTTGCTCCTGCTGCTGCCCCCGCGGCTGTCAGCAGGATTCCCATCAGTCAAGGGTGGAGATGCCAGCCTTTCCGCACCGTCGCTGGTGTCCCAGCGGCGCTGGCAGCGCGCTGTGTCACGTCTGGGTTTGCCTGCCGGTGCCTGGCCACATCTGTCCGGTGCTCTGTCGTTCTGTCATTCCTGGGGTGTCCGTCGTTTCTGGGATCTCCCGAGTTTTGTGTGGCTCCGTTCTTGCGGTGCCTGCACAGGGATGCTTCTCCCAAGGGTCCTACCCCCAGGCTGGGACGTGTGTCAAGGATCTCCCCAGACATGCGCGTTAGCTTTCTGTACCACCCTTGGGTGCTGTAGTTCGGGGTGGCTGTTGCCCTAATTCCCAGCTCCCTTGGGCTGTGACTCTCTGGACTAGTTCTGTCCTTGTTTGGGCCATTTCTCCAGTTCCTGCAGTGGGGCTGGCCTTGGCTTGCTGCAGGGGACAGCCACGATCTCGCTCCGGAGTCTTGAGTCCTCTTTCAAATATTTTTTTTCTTTTATATTTTTTGCCTGGCAGAAAAACGCCTCTTCAGGCTCCAGCACTGGAAAGACCCTTCCTAAAGCGGGGAAGGAGCTGTCGAGGACGGGGGTACGGCTCTGCTTCGTATCGTTCTTGGGCACCTGCCTTGGTTTAGAAGGCAACTCCTCTCTCTCCTTCCCTCGTTAGCAGGAGTCAAGACCGGGCACGAATGTGAGCTGGAGGGAGCTGCCGGAGCAGTATCGGGTTCTCCCTTTGCTGTGGTTAGTGGCAGCTCTTACTCTTTGAGCTCCCTATTTTTAACGTTGCCCTGGGGCAGCCCTGGCTCTGGTAGCTGCCGCCCCGTTGTTTCGGTGGATATGTGACTCCCGGGGAGACTTTACGACCAGGGGAGATGGAGGAGATGTTGGATTTGACCGTCTGGGCTTGACCCACGTGACAGATGAAAGCGATACCGTGCGAGAGCCCCGGGTGGAGCGTGCTCTGCGGTAAGCGCTCAAATATGTGGAAGTGTTTATAGAGAGCTGGTGGGGTGGGTGCAGCCACGGAGCGAACATCCCTCGGTTTCCTGACGCCGGGACTGAGGGATGGGCAATCCCAGCTTGTCACGGGGACGGCTCTGGGATGGAGGTGCAGGGTGCCTGGCCGGCTGCGGGACTGGTTGCTCGCACTTCACATTCTCCTCTTGCCTTTCCGTGGCTTTGCGTGGGATGTCATAATGTCCTTTTTCTTCTTTCCCAGCCTTAAAGCAAACAAAAGGCCTTTGAGCTTCCCTGCTGCTGTAGCTTCATTGTCTTCTAAATCTTGTTGCGTCTGCTTTTAAGACAGCTCCCTCAATATCCCCACCCAACGCTGCAACCTCAAATTCAGATCCCGGTGCAACTGGGTCAGCGGGGTTATTTTCTGATTAACTTCTCGCAGGCTGTCTCCTCTGTACCCATCTCAAACCAAGCGGTTTCAGTAATTACTGACTGGCTGAATTTGGAAAGCGTTCCCATGAATACCTGTGCGTCCGACTGGGAGCTTGCCTTCTGCCCAGGGTTGTAATGATGATGAGTGCTACTTGGCTAGGAGAAAAAAAAAAAAATCTCTGTATTTTAGCTTTGCCTGTTTTTGTTTTATCTCTGCATGAACAATATTTAATGTAGAACAATGTATGTATCTCGGTTATTGTCCAGCTGTGTGAGAGAAACTGGATAAACTTGCTAAGTTTTATGCTTCTTGCTGATTTCAGACTGATTTTTTGAAAGGCAGCTCAAGTCCTCCAGCATCCGTTATGGGTTAACTTGGGTTTTGCCTTTTTTTAAAAAAAAAAAAAACAAACAACTTTGTCAGATATTATCCTCCTTCTTTTAAAATACACAAGTAGATAACAATTAGCTGTGCTTCCTTTTAATGAGGGCCTGGTTCTTGGCATGTGTTTTACAAGGGCTAATCTTGGTTAAGGAGATAAAGAGCTGTGATAGGAATTCCTCTAACATGAACACCATTAAAGTTTGTCTTATGTTAATAATACTAACATAGTGGCTGAAATTACATTTAGGAGCTCATTGATTAAGACTAAAACCTCTTTATGCTTTTCTCAGATTTCTGTGATACTTGACAGTCCAAACCAATTGTTAAATGTTCTGCAGCGCTGCGATTCTGGCTTTCTAGGAGAGAATGTACATAAAGTTTTAGAAAGTAATACAGAACCGATGGGGATATGATTGCATTTTGATCTAAGATGATGTCCAAGAGGCTGTTTAACAGATGAAAATTGTCAAAAGATAGACATAGCAATGAGTGTGTAGTGACTAGGTTAAGTTTTGGACTTCAAAAACATCTAGACAAAACCTCAGTTTTTTTGGCTCGGTATTGTTTGCATTTTTTCACATTTAAGATATCAACTAGGAAGAGCTGGAATTTTCTGGCAAGAACAGCATATTCCTGTATAGTTCGATCGAGGCAGCAAAATTCAGCTAACAAATGCAGAGCATAAAATGAACTAATATTGTGTATCTTGTTATTGTGGCACTCTGATTCATCAGAAGCCATCATCTGCTTTCACTGCGGAGGGAATGAAACAGCAGGTACGCGCAGAGAAAGTATTTTAACAGGCTGAGAGCACGCTATAAATCTAAAAGGGAGCATTGGAAATAAGGGCCAAGCATTAGCGGAAATACTTGATTGCCACAGTTTGCTGAGCAGAGAGCAGATTGCGGGAGAGGCTCAGTGCAGAAGGGATGATGAGGGTATGGGCTGAAGGCTGGCGTTATCTGCGAACGCCTGCGTCCCCTCCCGTAGTGGGGCTTTGTACCGAGCTCCAGCAGGCTGCCAGCCGTGTCCTCCTGCTTGGTCCTCTGCTCCGACGGCAGCTCCGAGTGCTGGCCTGGGGACAGCACGCTCCCTACGGCTGCTGAGCCCCGTGGACACCGGCGGCATGGCGCTGATCACACCGGTCTGCCAGAAAAAGGTTGGGAACCGCTATCGTGAGAGCTCAAGGCGCTGCTCTTGGGAGTGAGCTGGAGAAGTTGCAAACTATGAGAAATTTCCCGGGATAAAGCTCACCGTGAGCAAGCGTGGCCTGCCTGTTTCATGTCGGCTGGCTGCGTTTGCAGTGACGGGTTTCCGTCAGAGAGGGCACGCTGTGACCGCCGAAACCGCTGCTGGAGCATGTGGGTGACGCTCACCGGCTGGTCTGGATGGAGGTTTGGGGTTTAGGGCTGCCCGTGGGAGCCCCTCTTGCGAATCCCTGTTGGAATTACCATGTAAATGTCCACAACTGTTTAAATACTGGGCTAAACTGAAACTGGTTTATTGCAGCCACAAAGGAATGTAATTTTATGTTAGCTTAAACTGAGAAAAAATAGCCTGATTCACCTAACTGATTTCTAGTAAGCATTTTGTTGGGTGAAGACGAGCGCCCTCCCTCATAGTGCCTGAAGCAGAGGGCAGTGTCCGTGGCACGAGTGCATTACTCTGCAGTAAAACCTTTGCATTGTGCCAAAGAAATACTTCTAGGGCAGAATACAGCTGTGCAGGGATGCTGAGATCCCACATGTAAATGTGTCCTCTTTCCTTACCGATTAAAACCAGGCAGCGTTGTAAAGTAGTGTTTTACTGCTGTAGGTGCGACTGCACTGAATGGTTTTGATGACACAACTGCGTTTATTAAAGGATCGCACTTCTTCCACAGCACAACTTCATTTTCAAGAGCACAGAAGTTTGTTCGGAGCAGACAGATGGCCTCAAATCAGCTTCTGCTACAAATGACTACTTGAATCTTAGGTACAAGGCATGATTCAAACCTGACTGCTGGAGGTGCCAAGAAAAAAAATGATAGCCGCCAGTGTTGCAGTCTGTTCCCCAGCTTATTCCCAAAATCAGACTCCTGCTACTGGGAGTTGACAGCGGGATTCAGAGATGACAAATGATCAGAAAATAACACAGTCTGTGCAAGTCTTTGGTCTGAATTCTGTCCAAGCCGTCTCTGCACAAGAGTCGGCATCGCCCCTCTGCAAATGCTGCTCTTTGGTCCCAGAAGATATAGGTCACACTCAGTATTTGTGATTAATCCTCACTGTTAGAGCATGAATCTTCAGCAAAAGATAATTACTTTAATTAGTTCTCAGTGTGTTGTATTATCTGTGGAGCGATGCTTGCTTACCCACCTCCCCTGGAGAGCTGATCTCTAAAGGACCTATCTGAAGCGGGTGAGAAGATAGTTGTGTCCCTACGGCAGAGCGCAACGCCAAAAGCTGTGTGACAGAACCCAGTACGGGCCAGGGAAGGTTAAAATCTGCTGCAGGGCTTGGGCTGAACCTGTGCCAAGGGCTGCTTGATACTCAACTCAGTTTAATGATACTAAGTTTCCTTCTTGGTTTAAGTATTTAAAAACCCGCTATTTGCTTTTTGTATTTTGTTACAATACAGCTAATGAATACAACAGCTTATTCCTGACTTTCGCCTAAAAGCTCCCATTGCCCAGGAGAGTCTTCAAAGAAACAAGCAGTCCACCCCTTCTTTGCGCCTCTTATTTCTGTTTGTTAAATTTCCATTTGATCGCGCTTATCTCAGTACTGGTTCCTTATGCACACGACAGAAATAAAGAGTTGTACAAATTCTGTACTTTATTTTTCAAATTTCCTAACAAAATCACACTGGTCTTCCTTGAAATGAAAGAGCTATTTCTAGCAGTTCTTTACCCAGTTCCTCATGCTTTCCTCCGCTGCTGAACTCTGCAGACAGCTCCCTGAACGTGACACAGATTCGGCGATGCTCTATATGCTTGCGGTAAATTGCGTGTTTCCACTTGTACCGTGCGTCACCGTACAGCACCACCAGAGACCTTTGGGGTAAGTGAATGGCAACAGTCACCTCTTTACTTGGCACAACCCTTGGGGGTAAAATGCAGTTGATTCCCTCTTTGCCTGAATTTTTGCACTCTGACGTCTGTGTAAAAGATCCAGGGGGACTTAATTCCCCGTTTTCTTTACTGAAAGTGGGAAATAATTGGATACTGTCCTCTGAATCACAAGACATGGATAGCACGGTTTTTGAGAGCAAGTTTAAGCTAACCAGGCGCTCTCCCCAAAGCCACCAGTCATCAAAATGTGGGTCGATGGCAGAACCTCTTTCTGGCACATAGTCCAGATTACATTGTTCAACAGGTAAGAAACCGCCTAGCACCGAGCAGGCCTTCATTTGTGCCACAATCTTTTTACTGAAACTTGGCAAACCGGTAAAGCTGCCAGCTTTCAGCCTTTGTTTCTTGAAGTTCACTTTGGGTCCATAGTCCTGTTGGAAAAGAAGAGGAGGAAAAAAGTTAGTATTTATTAAAGAAAAATCTAGGGACACGTCTTTTTGGAGAGGCTGTGATCCCTACAGGGTTCAGTCAACAGTTTTGAGTTCTTTTCTCATGTCTTCTGGTGACTTGGTCACCATGTTGCAAAAGGACTCAGTGAAGCTACATTATTCTCTCTGGAATTAGATTTCTTACCAGTAAAGTAAAAACCAACCAAAACACCCACTTCTTTCACTTGGAGATTGTGTGAACTTTAACGCCTGAACATGCACCATCAAATACTGTTTGTTGTAACTATCATGTATTTTTGCAAGAAGTTGACATTAATTACAAGTAATTCTTGCAATTGGTTTCGGGAAAAGCTTTCAAAGGAAAATATTTAATCCAATATCTAAATATTTTGGGTTTTAACTAAAAACAGCTTTCCTTTTCCAGAGGGATCTAAGAACGAATGTGCTTCTCAAGTCAAACCTGTTTCTTTCGGCCGGATTGTGATGGTTTCCAGTCATCTCGATCCATCAGTTCAACTATCTCAGATTCTTCATCTTCACTAATGAACTCCTCCATCAGAAACACCCCTGGAAATGGAAATGCCCAGCCAGCAAATTCTGAGCGCTCATTTCCTTTAGCGAGGCCTGTTGCTGGACAGTAAGTGAAATTATCTTCTCCCTGTGGAAATAGCAATGGAGAAGAAAAAAGCAGTGCGGGGAAAACTTATCAAGATAAGGTATTTCCATGATTTACCCCTGCAGCCATGATGCTGCAGCATGAGAACTGTCAGTACAGGATGCTTGTAGACATGAGAAATTTTACAGCTGCTTTTGGGGAAACAACTCTTCCCCGCTTTTTTTGTTCACAGCTCCAGCATTACTGTGCTGCTTGCTTGAAGCCGCTTTTCTTTCCTAGTAATGTCTTTATCCTGCAAAGGCGGGGAAGAAGAGATGATCCTCAGTGCCAAATGTGTAAGGAGATTAATGGTCGCTGTTCCTTGGGCTGGCCGTAGAGATAGGGTTTGTCATATCAATAAATGTTGAATGAGGAAAGTGGATAAAAAAATTGCCAAGGCCTGAAGGTTAAGCAGTTTGGGTTTTGGTTTTTTTTTGTTTTTTTTTTTCTTAATGTGTGAAACTCAGGTAAGGTCTGGTTTGGCTTTCGAGGTTGCTGTGTGCATTATTTGGGGGAGGCCACAGGGCCTCCTCCTTCACGAATACCCCACGGAAGGCCCTCGGGGGGACCCTGCTTTGTCCCCAGCCCGGGCTCCCGCTCGGGTCCCAGCGCCTCCACGGGCCCCGCAGCCCCCTGAGGAGCCACG